TGTGTGTGTGTGTGTGTGTGTGTGTGTGTGCATTTGTTTGTTTGCCCAGAAGGGCGTAGCGATGAGGTATGGATGTGGTGGTGGTGGTGGTGGTGGAGGAGGAGGTGGTGGTGGTGGCAGTAGGGGAGGGGGTGGAGGGCGATGGTGGCTTGAATGTCAAAAATCTGTCCTCCGTGTCTGTCCAATTCTATTTGCTCCTGTGCAGTGGAAACTAGTAACAGCTGTGCACGGCGCCAACCTATCCAACTACCCGACTTGCCGACGGATCAACAACCCAAGTGGCTGAGAAAACAAATGCAAGTCCTATCCGGTGTACTTCCTTCCTTCCTTCCTTCCTTCCCTCATTCCTTCTTGCATTATTGCCTCTGAGAGGTGTACAAGGCAACGGGACAACTTTCCACCCACAAATGGAGGGTTTAAACGCCTCTTTTTTTGGTCTTGTGATTAATCACTGGGAGATCCCCTCCTCTTGATTGGAGGCGAAGATTACGTGTCTATAGGACAATTCATGATTAATGTGCCACGATTTTGGAACCCTGTTTGGCCTCGAAATCAGGGTGGCCAAAAGGGCCGCTGCTTCAAAAATTGCTCCCACACAAATCGCATCCACACCTTCCGTTCGTCTGTCAAATCCACTTGTCTACTCTGTTTAATGACAAATATAAAGTTTTTTTTAAGGCTGAGTTCAGCAGAACGTTCAAGCGAACGGCTGCAGACACCAATGCGTGTTAGTTGACTTTCGAAAGGGCAACCGTTTTTGAAGGCGTTTGATGGAAGACGAAGCCATCCAAAGAAGCCTTGTTTCCAACTTTTGCTTGAGTTGCCTTCTGTGTGCCACGCCAATGGGCGAAAAACGGGCAATACCATTGCCAAAGGACGAGAAGGAGGAAAAGTTTTGTAACGAACCCCTTCAATGGTGCGGAGGAAAAGATGGGAACTTGGCAAGTTCAAGACGGAAAGTTGTCTCAGGCAGCATTGTGATTGTTTTGGTCTCAGTCGTATTTTATTGCTACAAGTGCGGGGTTGCATGACGTTGATCCTAAAAGCGGTGTTCTAAGGCTATTGGCCGTCCACCTTCCGGTAGGACACTTCCACCTCTCCTCCTAACCCCCGGTTCGGTGGATCCGTGACCAATCCAATCCCCTCTTGTCCCGATGTTCGTCGCCATCGGGAGCACGAAAACAGTTAAACAATATGAGTGACCACTCTCAATTACAATGACCTATGAAGGCTTCTGCTGTCGCACTCCATGAAGGATGCGCAACACTGCATGATGAGGCCTAAACCCTAATTTCCTTTACCAATTCCGCATTACTATCCGTCCAAAACCTATCTCAGGTCTTAGCGGATCCATGAAACGTGGGAACGCGCTCTTAGGGGGATCGGCTACTTCCTTTGTTGCACGTGATGCTCCATTTCCTTTGTGTTTGCTTCTTCCTCATGAGAGGACATGAGTTAGTAATTCTAATAAAAAGGTGTTATTTGACACAAATCTTAGTTAGAACAGCCCATCAGAAGAGATCATGTTTGTCGCCATGCCCTTGAAAGCTGAGTATGAGGCAGTTTCACTCTCCAAAAGCCTCTGATCATGCAATTACAGTCCTTCTTGTGGTAATAGAAATGGACCGTAATTATCCGACAGACTATCGTCTGTTGACTGTTCGGCAGTGCGAGGAAGTAGTGGCCTCCTTTCAAAATGCACGCCCACCGCGGCACAATTTTCTGGTTAACAATGGAGTCATTGAGGAATGGAAGGATTCTTGGTAAGCATGGAGTGGGAAAAAGAAATGCTCCAAGCCAGATAGCACTATTTTTCCACCCGGCACCACAAATCAGCATTCGCAACTTATTTCAAGCAATACAATTTCAATGACCTCTTCACATTCATGAGAAATGAGCATCCCCTTAGCTTCAGGCTTATTTGGCTCCTTTATGACTACCTAGAATCATCTTGGATTCTTTCCTTTGTAGTTTTGTGGTACAAACGTTTAAAATAAGTGTTTTATATTCCTTGTTATAGGATTGTTTGCTAAGACACACGCAAAAAATCTCGACTAGAAACTCAAACGTTTCCGGAGCATTTCATATATACTCTTTGGTGAGCAAGCCACTATAAAAACGGACTCTCATGGCCTTTAGATAACGCGTCTCTTCTCTTTCACAAAGACATTCTCTTCCCTCTCCCTCTCCCTTACCCGATTTACCTCATTTGTCTAGAGTCGGTTAATAAGGGGCGCTTTGGAAATCACTCCGTCACTTTCAATTAATGGTGAGTTAGCTGACCATTTCGAAGATAGTAAAAAAGAAGAGAAATAGATAGATCCTTTCAGCTACGAAAAGCACACACACAAATTACAACTGATATTTAACGCCGAACAGAATAAAAATGCCACCTACTATGCAGAGGCTTCACATCTACTCTTCCCTGCTGAATCATGCAAAAATGGGGATTGAATGATTGACAAGGCAGTAAGCCCTTGCATTTTGTGCGCTTAATTACAAGACGCTAGGTTTTTTCGCTATCTCTCCCCTTTTTTGCACTTCGAGTAAAGTAACGCTTTTGTTTTGGGAAATTGAGAAGATGAATTTAAGCACATCGTTTCTCCAACATTTACTCGACTCACTTTAATCACCCCATCCCATCCTACTGTGAGCATGACTCACTCGTGTGATTGGGCCACGGACAATCGATTTATCGACTAATTGATGCACGAAATAGAAAATAGCTCAGTTCTAAGCCAATCGGAGCTCCACTAAGTGGCGGCGATCGAATACTTTAGGCCCCTCAATGTATGGTAGAGCAAAAATAGTAATTGTCTAAGCAGACTTACTGTTTTGCCAATTCGAACTAACTCATTTTGTCACCTGCAAAACATCCGGTTAAGAAGACAAGCTGGATTTTTTTCGAAATAATGCCTTGAAGACACGTAAGTTGGTTAATCCGTCGACTTTTTCGTGTTCTGACTTAAAATCTGCCAAACTTTTTAAACTCCGTGTTGTCAAATTCTGGTAACCTTTTGTCGAAGAGGTGACAAAGGGCACAATTTTTTGTCCATACCTTTTAAAGGGCCTAAGTGTAACTAAAATGGTTTAGTGAATTAAATATTGTGCTGCCACTGTTCAACCACTCGCTTTCTTTCATTCGGAAGCAATTTTGCAAAGCTTTGGCTGGAGGGGCAAAAAAGGAAAAAGTAGCACAGAGGCACTCATATGCAACCACACCGGTAGATAATTTTGGCACACGTGCATTTTATAAGGATGACCATTACCTCCCCCCTTCCAAAGCGACGCACCACACGTACATTGAAAACGGCTTCAACACATCGAAGCTGTGTACTTTTCGCAGTTTCTCGAAGGTGATGAGCCTACTTTGCGGGTTCAACATGGAGAAACTTTTATTCATAGCGATGCGTTCACCACCGCGATCGATAGACAGGCCTTTCAGCTCTCCATTTATGATTTGTGCCTTTTCTTCATCCAAAGCTGATGTCAAATTCTTGTGACAACGATCAGAAGGACACTCCTTGGGGTTTATAGAGTGTTTATTTTCGCAATTACGAAGCCTTCACATTATAATGGATGTGTTAAGTGTTGGGAAAGACAGCCTCGAATCAAATGGGGCATTAAGCTTACTTAAATCTTCTCTAGGAGTCTGAACTACTTCGTATAATGGATTGTTGAATGCAATGAAGAGGCGAGATAAGAAGATAGATGAAGCTGTCCCATTAAGCTAATCAAAAATCCCATGGAGATAGCTATCAGTCCAGTATGAATATATAATGAAAATGGTAGGAGGAGTGGGGAAATGAAGCAGGCTAGATAATGCCGGAAGGTGAAATGACTACAGCCATGTGGACAAACACAGATCTGTCACAGTTGGACAGCCGGTTTGACGGATGACTGATATTTCCGTGCATATGCAAGTACGCAAGCAACATTCCAGCCTTATAGGTACAATAAGCCTAATTCTGTCTTCCCCTACTACTTCATCCTTCATACCCATTTTTAAATGTCTCTTTGCAGGACTTTATCGAAGCAGCAGAATTTCCCCTCCTGATTGGTCAGCTACCCAAGAAGTCAAAAGCCCATTTTTCAAGGGGCTAAACCTGTCTCCGGGTAGAAACGCGCAAATTGTCCTCCAATTTGGTTTTTTTCGTGTAAGTAAAAAAATATAAATGGGTTAAAACAAAATAACGGCTTTTGCAGGCCTATGATATCTTTATCTCGTCAACACATCTCAGTAGCCATGATAAGAAGATTAAAATGCAGACCCAAGTACGGAGAATGAATGAGTGGAAGAGAGTTGGGCGTAATTGCAATGCCATGAATTCCATTGTGTTTTTGTGTGAAAGTGATCTGTCAGTCGGTTTGTTGCCATTACGTGTGATCAAGAATACCCTGTGTCCAAGGAAGGCGCATTGAACAAGCGCTCACAGATAAATTTGACCCTGCAGTAGACCTATTCAGTGGATGTGTTGGTAGATGTGTTAGCAGACGATCCAGCATTCGCTTTCTTTGCCTCATCTGCCGGTGCAAAACCGACTGGAGGAGTGTATGGAAGAGCTTCTTCCAGTTGGTTGTACATTGCAGGATAGTAAGAAGCCGCCAAGTTACCTCCTACGGTATGATATTGCGGACGATAAGTGCTTGAAGTTGTGGAAGAATACGATGATGGACCATAGGCAGCGGGTGTAGGATAGTAGCCTGGTGTGAAGAAGTCACCCGGATTAACGGAAGAATCAATAAACCCGCCACCACCACCGCTGCCTCCGCCACCGACATCGGCACCCGTTCGGCGATTACGACCGGTTACAGGAGCTACGGAATTTGCAGAGGCTCCGCCCACGGCAGCTGCAGCGGCTGCCGCTGCTGCTATATACATTTCACTGGGACTTGAGTGGGAGGCTAGACCTACAGTGTAAAAATAGGACAATTTAAACGATGTGCCGTCTGACGCCACATTAGAACAAAATTAGGGGCCGCACTGAGGATGCCTTTGTATGTGATGACTGATTAGCTAAGGAGCAAAACGATGCCTCTTATGGTAGTGCCATCCGAGAATCTCAACGAATAAGGGAAGCATAGAGAGTTCCCTTGATTAAGCCTATCTACCGTTTCATCAGCTAATATTTTAGAGAGATCAATAAGTTATAGTTGGAGAAAAGTAAATGAATCCCTTGAGAAAATATTGAATTAAAAGTAAACTAAATCAATATGAGGACAATCAAAATGTGTTAAAACTTGGGAATTAAAATTCGATTACCTCATCGGAAATCGATCACCTCAAGAATGAAGGTTTAACCGCTCGGCCAACAACTGCCATTTTGCCTCGGCAACCAAAGGACGAAAACTTTATAAGCACTACTGATTAAAGCTGATTCTAAAAGTTTAATTTTTATAAAGCGTTAATAAAAGGCAAAGATTAGAAGAAGCTTTCCAAAGGGACCCACTGAATTAAGCAATGTCAAAAAGTCCAAAAATTGCATAGTAATTTACTTTGAAATTTAACTTTGCATCAATCCTATGAAGTCACAAGTGACCAACGGTAAAACACCAGCAATAAGACACTACCCGACCAAAAGAATGACCGATGAGGGGCTAGGCGGGTATATAAGGGTAGTCACCAACCGATTCACGCTACAAGCTGTAGGAAACATTTAAAGGTCGTAATTAATAAATTAAGAGGACCTACCAGCAGCAGCGGCTGCAGCCGCTCGACTGTAAGCCGCGTACTGAGATCCCTCCATGTAGCCCAAACAGGAGCTCGGCGAGTCGGTGGGGTACATGTGCGGCGCTGAGACGAGGACCAAGGCGGTGAGGTGTTAAATCGCTTCAGTGATTTGATTATCTGGGTACACTAACTACTACTTAATCTGTTCTAGATCCTGTACACTAAATCAAACGTAAAGAGAAAGCACTTATCGTTTATGGCGCGAACCACAACCAAAGAGATAATTAGACAATTGCGCGCGATTCATCATCAACAAATAACGGCTCTGACTGTGTTGGCTGACACGGTTCAATGGACACCCTATGTCCACAACAAAAAGAGGAACACGTCGACTGCCAACAGCACAGGGGGCAGAAGTTGACTTGAGGGATCATCGAAAGTGTACCTTTGTTACAACCATAAAGTGCTCAATTGTGGCACTAATTCCTCATGAAGGGGGCTTGAAATAATAGTTTCGATTATTTTGACTATACTTCCAATTACCTGCTCTGTTGGACTGGTCAATCATTGGTTGGACGATACGCCTCCGTGCATTAATGAACCTAAAAGACAACAATAAAAGAGTTTACAACATGTAAGGGCAGTTACGTGATAAAGAAACTAATTAACTAACCAGTTATTAACCTGAAGAATTGTTAGTCCAGTGTCCTGAGCAAGTTGTTTCTTTTGTTCCTCCGATGGATATGGATGCTAGACGTCATCGAAAACGGAATTAAGCTAAAAACACCCGTTGCTCACAAATTGTTTAGAAGGTTCAAGTACTTTTACACAGCTGCCAGACAAACACTACGAAACTCACGGAGAGGTGTTGGAAAAGCCATGCACGCATTATGTTGGTGGCAACTTTGGGAAAGATTCCACGCTTCTTCTGCCGTTTTGCAGCCACTCGGTTGTCAGCATCACAATCGGCATCCTCGTTATTCTCCTCTTGTGAACCAATGGAATTAGCAACTCCATCATCTTCAACGGAAAACGAGATATCGACAAATTGTAAGTATGTGTGGTTTGTTATTTGTCAGTGTTTACTTTTAAAGCTTTCAATTTTTTTCGCAAATGTCAATAATGTATATTTTACATCCTGCGTTGGACAGCTTAATCGCTTGAATAGCGCTAAATCCGCGGCGGCGGGCATTAACACCTTACACTGCGGACGATTTGGTAAGCTTATTTCGCGCACTTAGGTTGATATAATTTAACGCGAATCTAACGTATCATCCACCCTTCCAACAAGCAAAAGTGATAAGTCTTGGATTGCATGCACCTATTACTCTCGATTTAGATAAGTTTTATTGACTAAAAGTGTTAGCATATAGTGGGGAAGTAAAAGTCGAGAGAGAGTTTGGGCGGAGTATCTTTAAATTGTTAGCCAATTTTTCTAACCATCTGGCAGCCTGACCACCTGTCATTCCACCGACATTAGAAGTTGATACAACGCACACTCATGATGGCCTTATCTTCCTTTCCACCGACCTGCGGACCGACACTTTTGCCATCTGCTTTTCGGCATTCGATTCGCATGTCAAGCAATAACCGACATAATTGCGTGGTCGACCTATTCATTCCTTTGTGTAATCCAAACTCTTATCTCCAGACCCTGGAAAACAAGCCGGCACGCAAAGCAAAGATTCAAACATCCGAGTAGAGTCTACCTAAAACGAACAATATTTTTTCTTCGTTTTCTTCTTTGCCTTCATCGTAAGGGCCGACAAAACATGTGTCTACACACACACACGCAAGAACGAGAAGGGGAGGAGGAAAGGAGGCAGGCGGGCAGATATGATTGATGAATCAGTGCATATGCCAGCATGATTCGCATGGGACATATGCACACAAATGTCAGATT